AAAAGGATGTGGGGGGGGGGGGGGGGCACAGTAGGGGAAACTCACGACCTCCGGGTAGACAAATGTCCATATAAACGGAGACCTGACAGACGTCAAGATGAGCCTAGAAGTTTATTTCATACATAGTCGGACGGTCCTAATGGGAGAACGGTGGCCAGTACACTGAATAAAGCCAGGAAGGCTAGGACAGAAATGTACTGTCCAATAGCATTAAAGTTAGCTAACCACATAAAGGCGGCACTAGAAGATCGGCAGTAATTTTGAAAGTTGCTCTGATCACATCATACTTCACAAGAAGGAATACATTCAGTTTCATCTGAAGGGAACACCAACTTTGTATGTCAGCACTTGAGTGCACACAGCTATGAAAAACAGAATTGTTGCGAGAGTCTTCAGGTCGTAGCGAAAGCACTCACGAACAAGGTGCACAGGCATTCAAGCAACACTGAAATGAACGAAAGTAAGCAACACTCATTCCGCAACATGACCCAAAGATCCAGTCAAACAAGAGCTACACACTACTGTAGCTAATTTAGGTAAAGTGGAGGAACAACCAGCAGTTGACAAACAATCATAGGCGCGATTTCAAATGGCGCCTTTGGATTTTAGAACTCGGTTAAAGTCATCCTACTGTTACTCAAAATACATACTACGACCGGAATTGCTACGCAAAGTAGAACCCTCACTTTTGGAAGACTTTGTCTGCGCTACGTCGTTTGGTCCGAAATCCCTCTAGCTGCCAGGTCATAGAAGTGTAAATCAATAGTCATAGGGAAGTTTGTCCCAGGAAGATAACCTTCATCACTATCGCCAACGGGACACAGTTGCGTAAACTAAAAAGTTTGCTGCCAAACGTATATAATCTGATGACAGCACAGGTCCATTGCGAATGAATGGGTTCATACCATGCCAATAGCCACGGCCCACAAGTCTAGCAATGGAAGTGGGGATGGGAACAGTGTCTTAAAACAACATCTATGTGGATGGCAGGTGTGTAACAGCTTAAATAGGGATTTTGATGAACACAGGAACAATATTAATCAACCACAAGAATACATGACAGTGAACAAATTTCTGTCGTCTGTAACCACCCGCCTCCTGACGAACTTTACTTCATCACCCCCTATGGTTTGTCGCTGCCTCTTGTGAAACATTGGCACATTGCAAGCAGCAGAAAATCTACCGAAGCCGCAAAGTGACTGGGTCCTGCATAGAAAACCGCATTTAGTTAGGTTATTACACGTGGCCTCGGCTTTCTTGTTTCTAGAGCTGAGAGATACACAGCGATCTACAGTCTAATAACCAGGTTTATGGAACTATCGTTATAAGATTAGCTGTACAGGTGACTGCTTCCATGATACGCATAGAGTATCTTGGCCGGAGTTGAAATGTGGTGCACAACAACAAAGTGCACTCAGTGGATCACTAATACAAGCAAGGAAACCGGATAACTACGTAGCCACGACTGAGTATACTTCAACCGGATGTTACGAGACTGCTGTGTAGTTGAAAAAACTCGGCAGCTACCTTAAGACAATAGCCATAAGTAAATATCTATCAACTGAGGCACAGTTGAACGCCCTGAAAAAAAATGAGTTCATTGTGGTTCCATATAGCTGAGGCAGCCCTCCCACTGATCAATGCGTGGTCGGGTGTCGCGTGAGCGATAGTTTTGAAGACAAAGTCACGCCAGTTAGTAGTGGTAACGGGAACACAGGCAGGCATACATAACAGTCATGTTAGAGTGGATATGGTAACAAACGCGCGGTAGTGCGATAGGTAAAGGAATCACTTTGCTTGGTGCGCATTATCACTCCTGTACTGCTGTGACAGCGCCTGCGCTATCGACCGTGTTTTTGGCTTTCACCCACCATTGTTAGACAAGCCTCTTTCGACACGTTGACAGGCCCCTTATGACTTAGCTTAATAGCTGACAAAAAACCCGAGCAAATAGAATATGCCGTCACATTTTTTTACCTTACCGACTAATAGGACAGACTGGTCGCAGCTTACTTGTCCAACCCTCCCTGTTGGAGTGTTTGCGCTAGCAGCGACCTTTAAAGGTCGTCTGACGTCATTGAAGGGGAAGATATATGTAGGCCACAATCGGCATTACGTTACTCATGTAGCTACCATGTTGCGCTCGCGTAAATCAATGCGAATCGACTCATGCTTATCGCTGAGCCAACCACTTCATGGGAAACCTTAACCGCTGCACGAGACAGTCAGTGAGAAAGCTCAAGGATAACGTCAACAGAAAAACGGCTTGCTTACGAGGAAGACACAAATAAGGATGGATTTCTGGCCTAGAGGACACTCGACTGAGGTTATGTTGAAGTCCAAATCAAATTTGCGATCATTCATTTTGTGGTCTGTGACCTCCATTCACCCAACCCAATAGGTCGAAAGTGCACTGTTAGGAGAAGCAAGGGACGGGTTTCGTTAACGCTGCGTACATTTTGTCAACATAAACGATGGATACGGTACTTAAACGTCAAAGGAACGAAGCACAAAGGTCCGGTACGAACTGCTCCCTGTTTCCAATTGATGGTCGGAGAAATCGGCTTGCATTTCCGTTGAACTAATTAGGTATTCAAGCCAGACTTCAATATTTCATACACTAAGAATCGGAAAATATACAATGAAACCAACAGACCTTAGACCAGCAGTATACACCTTACGAATTGACCTGGGGATTTCTGAAATTCGGAAGCTTAAGTATGAGTGGGCCGGTTGGAAAATATTCTGAGTACAAGAGGGACTGAGAAGATAGCGGCTCAACAAAACGATCAGTTCCCATCTGTTAATCGGGCCTAGCCTAACTGCTTCCCAAACAGATGGGAGTGAGTCGAAAGGTGTTAATGAACCTGAACGGTGTGGGATTGGGTACTTACCGTGGACAACATGAACCATTGCACAGACTGCGACATATGTATTTAAACCTTTCCAGAATTAAAATAGCGGGTCAGTGCGAGGTACGAAAGGAGTCGACAACAGGGATACGGCAAGATCGAAAGCACCGAGCCGCATAGGGGCGAAGATAAGAGCCAATTTAGAGCACACGGAAAACATATATATGGAGATGACAGGAGATACGGATAAATTTCAACAACGCGATGAGGATCGGCAACAGATCAATCAAATGACGGCTTAGAATGGTTCACAGAAAACTCACATCAAAAGAAGAATGACAATAAAACTTACCTGATTTACAAAGACAACATAGCGAATCGAACTGTGGTGTTGTAACATGAAAACACATGTCTATCACATAGAGAGGTTCACAAACAAAATTCTATTAGTGTGAAGATTGTGCATGGAAAGGCGGCATTTGCTAATAGGCGATCAAAAAACGACCAGGGACGCGTAGATGGATTAGGGACCTGAACCTTTCGGGTGTGCTGGTGTGCGTGAGTGTAAAACATACTGTTAACGAAGCTTGATTAGTTGCACAGTACCGGTGGTTAAAACAAGATCGCCGTTTCATTGGTTGCCTAACCACCAATGGCATCAGCTTCTGCTTGAAGCCACACGTTTCCAATGCCATGGTTATTAGGAACATCAGTTTTCTTAACCCGAACTTCACATCCATCTGTTTTACCTGATGCGTATTCAGAAAAAAAAACGAAACGGAGAGGATAGCAAGCCCTATGATATGGAAACTTTGCTCGAATGGCGGTTGAGCATCAGTATTTTAGTCGCAAATTGGCCAAACAAAAAAAAAAGTGAACCTCATAGTAAGTTACGAGAAGAACTGTACAAGTGAACTGAAGAAGTGGGGCAAGTTGAGGAGGGTATTAGGAAGAGTTAGGTCACAGCTCCACAGATGTATGGCAGTGGCAAATATGCCAATAGATAGCTTTACACAACCTGTTCGTTTTGTTTTCAAAAACCTGAAATCTCGTTGACTTGATTATTCTGGAGGATAGGTAGTCATGCAAAAGGAAGGGCGCTTGAAGGCGACTCGCGCGCGGTAAGTTTGTTAAGTGCATATGCATATACAGTATGCAACTCCCCCAAAAGACAACAGCGCAATTTATGTTTCAAGCTGGTCTAGGGCATACAGTGTAACTACTAGCAAAATGAATACCGCTTACTAATTTTGGGCATTTATTGGTTTTATTAGTGCTAAAAGGACATTCCATCTGGAGCGTCAATGAATCAAGTTGAATGCCGTCATCCTCGTGGGTGAGGAATCCGCGATGCTCGACGATGTCAGAAGACATGGTTTAGTCCAGCATTTTCGTGCTTCCGCTATCCTATTTCGAGCTGACGACCAATGACAAAACACTTGTATAGTGTCCATGCAGCGCCACCTGTCAACATCAGTAAAGCCGCAGCCAGGATAGTTAGTAATCAGGATCTTTTCATCTTGTCAGAATGAAAGATATTGCTTGTATTAACGACTAGACGGGGTTGAATGCTCAAACTTTTCCATGGAACTGTAAGCCATTTCCATGGTGCGGAACAACGAAGAAACAGAAGCCTGATGAGACCATTATAACATGATAACAAGGAACATAAGGTTTGCGAACGCTAACAAAACCCGATACGGGCAGACATTAAATATTCGTGAGATTCTCGTTTTATCTTTATATGCGTTTAGCTTCAAACAGAACCGTCCGATGGTAAGTTATGATGTAAGAATGATACGACAAACTAGTTCATTGCTACACCATCAATCGTAAATATCAACCGATCACAGAAATGCATAAAACTCTGGACAATAATACGTCCCGAACCTTTTGAAAGGATGAGCTAAAAATTCACAAGTTTTGCGACTAGTTTGTGTCTGCTGAATGATGAAGCTAGATCACAGTATTTGTACGTCTCTTAATGGTGTTTCGCCTTATTTTAATCCGATTAGAGGTAGTTGATCGCGGTGCAACCGTCCGAGAGTAAACTGTCCTGACCAACCGGCAAACACTTTTAGAAGGCACTTCAGATGCTAAGAGCTTTCCATCATTTGCTATGATCGTAATCGCCAGCCAGTGACTCACATGACTGTCATAAAGTACCGCCTACCAAAAAGTTCAGGTTCCAACCCTAACCAGAATTCTTTTAAACCAGTAGCTAAGCTTGTATACTGTGATAGTTGGATACAACTAAGGTGGACAAATCCGAAACCCATGGAAAACTTCAGTCTAATAAAACATGAATACGCTGTGTGAAAACTCGGTACGGAGGACTATAGCCTATACCTGTGTTTTGCGATTAAAAGGCTGGTTGTTGGTTACTGTCATTTATTAATCCAAGTTTTTCGCTTTTATGATGGTTAATTTTTGGTTCGTGAGGTGTGTGGAGCAAAAATGGATACAACTAAGCAGTAATATCGTTGAAGCGTTAAAAAGAAGATGACAAGATGAACAGTGGACGAACTGTACAAGACTAAATTTCCATGCTGTGAATCGCCTTGCTCCAGAGGTCTAGAGCAATCGCTTTGCAACCTACTAAATAGAGATACTGTTTTAGTAAAGACCCTGTGATGTGCTTCGTAGCAAAACGATTGGCTGGCTATCATTGGCTCAAAAAGATACAGGATTGATTTAGCGACTTGACTACAAAGAACTATGCAGAAATAGGGGCAGATTTTGCGTTTCCAAACCCTGGTTCTCAGGGGGGGGGAATTAGTAGCTACGCAACAGTACGTCGAATGGCCTCATAGGTATTTTGATCGCCATTAATTACTCGGTATTATCGAAAATGCTCAAAGAAAGATTGCAAGATGAAACAGACAAATTAGTGTTTCAGAGGCCAGATGAATTCGAAAGCGGGAGGCCGAAACAATTCTAACAATAGAATAGCAGAGAACCGTGCAGCAAACGGACCATCGGATAAAACAACATGCCATATTTTTTGTTGGTTCACTCAACAATTTGCAAGCAGCCGAGTGGTTGACCATTAGATCTGTAGAGCCAAGAGTATATTGCGTACGACAAACAATTTAGAGCTTACGCAGTGAAATTTCTCCGGGGGGGGGGGGGGGGGGCGCCTCGTTAGTTCACGC